AACCATCAATCTCTTGGTTAGCAGTCAAATGCCTTAAGCATTATGCCACCAGAGCTCCTCTAAAAACCAAACCCAATACCATCAAGTCATTTTTGACTCATAGTGACCCTTGTTGGTTTTCTAAGGCTGTAAATATTTACAGAAACAGACTGCCTTATCTTCCTCCAGCTGGTGGGTTTGAACTGCTGACCTCCTGGTTAGCAGCCAAACGTCTTACCCACTACATTATTCCCCTGAGGCTCCAGCAACAAGCTTCCTGCTTCCAGGAAAAAGGAAGGCTCACTGGTTCCAAGGGGAGATGGTGAAAAGAAGATAAAATGTCTATTCTGGGAAGTCAGAGCCCTCCAGGTGCTAGATTGAGCTCTGCTGATAACTTGTAGTATAACCTTACTCATATCCTTTCCCTTCCTCATGACCTCAGTCTCCCCTTCCATACAATGGGTTTTGGTAGGTAGAATGTGATCTCTCTCCAAGATCTCCAAGAGTCTTTCCAATTTCAGACAGTAAAGGTTCCAATGAGCTCACCAGCCTAGTTGCATTTGCCCACTCCTGGCTTATCTTCCACCAGCCCTGGGATTCAGGGAGGTGGATAATGGGGCAGGTTGTTAGGGAAAGATGCAGTTGACTCACGTTGATAGATCTGAAGGAAAGTGGTGGTGAGCTTGCTAGTGAAGGTGGGCTCAGGCAGGTCCTGGAAATACTGCTTCAGCAGGTCAGTCACATCATAGGCTGACTGACCCTCATAGCAGACATTGTCTGGGGATGGCTCGTTCATTTGACGCAGGTTCTGGATCCTGGACTTCACTCCAGACTTGCGGAAGATGCCCACCTGGCCCATGTAGGAGAGGGAGGGAGAAGGAAGAGATTCAGGCAGGGTGAGGGGAAAGAGACTGTGAGGCCAGACCTGGACTGGGTGTTAGGAGTAAAGATCACTCCAGAGACTTCCAAGCCCCTCAGGCTTCTTGCTGGACATAGCAGGAGAGAAATGACAATGTCAAAGGAAAGGGTTTTTGTATTCTCAAGGCCAAAGAAATAGATAGCTTTTGTGGAGATGAGATAAGAAAAGGTGAACCTAGGCTAAAGCATACTTCTAAAAGATGGGAACTATCTATCCCATCTAAAAGATGGGAGCCTGGACCAGAAGGAAGTTGTCACAGAGCTGAGCAAAAGGCTCCAGCCCTAAGGAGTAGAAGGTAGCTTTGGCTCCATCCTTCCTGGCCCTTCCTGGGATAGGAAAGGTCTCTAGTGGAACATCCTGACTCAGCTGGAATGCCAGAACAATTCCCTAACCTAGCTCCTCAACTTTGGGCTATAGCCTTTCCCTTAGTACCATCTCTCAGCAGGCTCCCCCAGGAGGATTTACCTGGTCCAGGCACTGATTGCACAAATAGCGCATGGCTTGTTGGATGCTCTGTGGCAATGGCTGACCTGTACGCTGCATGTGGATGAGGGGTGGCACTCCAAACATGTGTTGGCCCCTGTAGTCTGAGGTCTTATTCCTTTTCATGAACTTGGGCACTGACCTATTTGGGGGAGTGACAGGAGGTCAGAAAGGGGGATAGATAGATTTGAGCAGTTTGGAGCAGTTGGCTGCAGTCTTGTAGGGCCTAGGTGGAGTGAACAGAGGAAGAAACATGCCATATCCCTAGACCCAACACTCACTAAGCACCTGCTTTGGACCCAGCCCTAGGGAGTCACAGAGGAACACAGGCAGCTCTCAGTCTAGTCAAGGAGATTATTTTGTCAGCAGGCAGTGACAATGCCTGTGGCTAATAGTAGGCCAAGGACTTAGGACAGATGCATGAAGAAGTGAAACTGTACTTAGCATGTCAGAGAAGGATTTTGTGAGGTGATAACTCAGCAGGCTCTATAAGGATAGGTAGAGATTGTCCCAGAAGAGAATTGGGGGAAAGACATTTCAAGCAGAAAGAACCACATGAACAAAGGCAAAGAGGTGGGGAAAAAAAGCACAGCACATTCAAGGAAAGGTGACTAGGAAAAGGTGTAGGATGGTGCTGCTGGGGAGTGGTAGACAACAAAGCCTGAAAAATGGAGCAAGACCCAGAACATGAGAGGATCATGATGGGAAGGAATGTGGACTTTATTCTTTAGCCATGGGAAGACACAGAATGGGGTTTATCAGCAAAGTGACAACCATATCTGCACTGTAGGACACTCACCAGTGGCAGCATGGAGGATGCAATGGAAAAGTTACAGCTGGAGGACCAAGGGTCCCCACCCCCATACCATTCTCACATTTAGCACATATACACATGTGCATTCCATGTGCATTGCCCATAGATATGCACAAGCCCCCCAGAGGCATGCTGACCTCTTAGGCCACAGCGCTTCCAGCCTCCTAGGACATCATACCACTCAGCTGGTTTGTAGGCTCTGGCTGCCTGCTCATACTGTCTGGGGCTGATTCAAGGTCATTGGGTGGGGATAGGCAGGGTTCCAAGATATGTGTCAACAGCTCCCCACCCACCATGGCCCAAGTGCCACTCACCAGACCCAGCCCTGCTTGTGAGGCACAGTGTACTTCTCCATGAAGGCGGTAAGCCGCAGCAGTGAGCCCTTGTGCAGGAGAGTGATCTGCCCTGCGAACTGGCGGTTGATCTCCAGTGACTCTGAGTTAAGGCTTGGATGGTGGGAGTTCTGGAAACTGTACCAATGAAGCTTCCTAGCAAATGGGGAAGGCCAGAGGAACAGGTTTGGGCAAACTTTAGCAAAGGTTGGTTCTTCTAGTCCCTTTTTTCTCCCAAAAGAAAGAACATACAGAAACTACTCTCACTGCTGCTGCTAGGCCTCAGGGTAGATAAAGCTTAGTCTCAGCTTCTAGATTGACCCATAAGCCAAGAAGCTCTCATGGGGGTGACAAAGAGGTCAGACCAATCTAGTGCCAATAAGCAGTAGCAGCCCCCAACCTATTCCAAGACTGCTGTGGGGGTCTGCTCCAAGAAACCCAGAAGGGCAAAGCTAGGGATCAGAGGTCATTTCTTCTAACACCTCAGTTTACAGATGGGGAAACATGAGACCTAAAGAGAGGCCACAATTTGCTCAAAGTCACAGCAGTGGCAGGTCCTGAGTCTAACTGCCTGGATTCCTGAGTTTTCAGGACCTCAGTCTACCCTTCCATATAATGGGTTTGGGTAGGTTTGTGTTCTTTCCACTTCTCTTCTGGGACTGGCAAACTGGTAGCAATTGCCCAGCCTGCCCCTGAGTCTCATGACTAAAAAATCTGCTTCCTTGAGACAAAGAGAGACAACAGAAAACCTTGACCCTACCCTAAACTCCCACCTGCACGGTCTCGTAAGTGAGGCCCCAACTCCTGAATCACGCTGTTCATGAGGCACTGATGCCTGGAGCCCAGCTGTAGATCCTGTTACCTCAGCCTCATTCATGGAGTTACGGCAATTGTCAAGTTCACTGGAGGCAGCCACAGTGTCAGAAATGGAGTTTCCTACTTTCAAAGACAGGTTAGAGGCAGAAGTGGATTCCCTGCCTGTATTTATCTCCCGCTCATTGTCTTGGGCTGGGGTCTGAGCCTTGTCCTCTGCTTGTGCCAGAGTCTCAGTCTTGGCTGAGGCCTGATCTGGGACTACCATCTGGATGTTGGCCTTGACCTGGGCTGGGAACACTCTGTGGGCTTGAACCTGTGCCTGAGCCAAAGCCTCAGCCTGGTCTTCAACCTTATCTGTGGCTATTTCCACTGATGAAGTAGCTTCTTCCTTTTCTTCCTCATCTTCTTTTTCTTCCTTCTTGCTAGGCCCTAGGTCTGAGTATATGGCCTGAGACCAGAGTTCTACCTGCTGTTGCAGCCCCCACACATGCTGGAGGATATCATCTAGGTGGGTGCAGATGCCATCATTTTCCTCTTCATCTTCATCCCCAACCAGTACAGACTCACCTGGGTACAGCTCAGGCAAATTTTCATAGGTGCTGGCATGGCTGCCTATTGAGTCACAGGATCCCCGGTACCCTATGTAACCCCAGAGTCTACCTGGCTGCCAATCTGCCAGGCGGTGTCTATCCTCAGGAGATAGGCTGTCAGTGGACAAGGAGTGAGGGAATGTGCCTGGTTTGTGGTCCCCAGGCACATGCACCAAGCAGTCACTCCAGTGTACCTGCTGAGGATGCCAGAATGTGGCCACAGGTCAGGCTCTCTGAGTCTCAATGCTACCACCACAGGCTGAGGTAGCTCTCTGATTCTTGGGCCTGTTGAATTCAGATGAGAGGAAGTCATGGCAACTGTGGAAAGATGAGGCTTTGGCAGCCTTCTCTGAAGTGGCTGGCTTACACTGAGGCTCTGCTGGTCAGCTGCCACCTTTTTCTTTCTTCCTTAGAGACTCAAGGTGCTTGAGGAAGCAGCTGGAACTGTGTTTCTTAGCTTTATCCTGAAGACCCTGCTTATCCTGCTTGGGGATGTGGAAGGGCTGGTCACTTTGACTTCTGGCACAGCCTACCAAAGGCAGGTCCAATGGCTCAGGAGGCAGGCTCACAGTGATGGCTGACAGGTAGACAGTGCTAAGCTCAGTAGGGACACTTTTACAGGTTTGAGGCCACTGGCAGGCTGGGACTGGGTGGGGCCAGCAGATGAGAGGAGCCTACAAGAGACTAGTGCTTGCTTTCCTACTGGAAGGCCCAGTGGCTACTGATGGTACACTGCTCGTCCTCTTCTGATTCTCATTCTGGGGGAGGTGCCAAAAGATGGGGTCAGAGGAGCCTCACCCACAAGTCCTTGCTTATGCTTCAATCTGCCTCCAAAATCTCAGAGGATTTTGAGGTAAGGATCCCACTTTCTGGTTAAGGAAATGTCCTGGCTCAGGGGATGCTAGAAGAAGCCAGGAATCATAGATGGAGACTTAGATGAATGTTAATAATCATGTAATTAATCTACCCCTACCATTTTACAGGTAAGGAAACCGAGACACACAAATGAAAAGGAACATACAAAGATCATACAATAACATTCAATAAGTCAGAGCCAGGGCTAGGACACAGGCCTCTTGACCGTCTGTCTTCGGCAGCCTTCCAAGTCTCTAGGCTGTAGTCGTATATAAGAACCATGGAATGCTAGAACAGAAAGACAATTTTAGATTTTCTAATTCATCCCCTCCTTTGCAAGGTGTGGAAACTGAAACCAAGAGAGTAGAAGAAGCTTGCTCAAGATCAATCAGAAATCAGTGGAAGAGTGAGGACCAGGCCCCAAGAGTCTCCTACTTCCCAGATCAGGGCATTGTCAACTTGGCTGCCCCACTAGCTGCAGGTCTCTGATGGGGAAAGCCCCAGAGGAAAGCAAAAAAGCCTACTCTAAGGGAAGGATATGGTCATCACCTTAATTCCAGGACTATGTACAGACCAAGAGTCTTCTCAATTTCTGCTATCTCAAAATCAGCAGAGTTGAAAAGTCTTTACTCACTGCTGTTGAGTTGGATCCGACTCATAGAGACCCCTCCTTGGGTTTCTGAGCTGGTACCACTACTGAAGTAGATTGCCCAAGGTCTTTGGAGGCTATTAATTCCTCTCAATTCGTTGTAGAGATTGGGGAAAATGAGGCTCAGAGGGGAAAGACCTTGTAGGGGTGAGAATTGGGAATCCTGACTTCTAAGACCATATAGGCCATTATCTTTCCACTGCATTATTCTGTTTCTGCCCCCTACTCGAGGAGTTCTAGACATGACAGAGCAAGTACTGGAGGCAGATGGATTCCCATCAATAGGTCAAGTTACTGGTAATCCCAGGAAGGAGAGGTGGGCTGATGAGGGGTGGGTGAGGCCATGGGCCAGGGTATTTATTCCCACATTGCAATTTCTAGACCAGGTGCCACAAAACCCAGCATCCATATGGAGTACCTGCCATCCCCACCCCCAGGTTGGAGAAAGACATTGTTCTAGACACTCCAGACTCCTGGGGCATTGGAACTAGTTTCACAAAACCTTATGCATTCTAGTAGCAAATTTCAACAAGACAGAAAATAACAAATGCTGGCGAAGATGTGAAGAGATTAGGACTCTCATACAGTGCTGGTGGGACTGTAAAATGATACAA